GGCCCAAAATTTCACTGTCGTAAATGATGGTGCAGAGTCCCCATACACAGAATCCAACTCATCTTTGATTTGCGTAGGCGTATTGCCTTTCAAAAACAAATATTTAATGACAGCTCGATACTCGATTTTGTCCATTTTCACAAAAACACTCACATCAACTTACTCAAACGACTGTTACATAACAACTGCGAGTCCAAAATGGCTGAAACTTCGGTGAGTAACTGTCAACAGATGAACAACGAAATTCACTAGCTTTTATTTACAAGTGCTGCTATCTTCACGTTGAGGTCGGAAATTTTTCAGACCACCCTCGTATATATGCAATATACATGTATATTTAATGTTAATATAAATAATGTTATGCAATATATATATATATATATATATATATATATATATATTGAATAACATTATTAAAATATACATATATATTGCATATATATATATTAGTATATATATTGCATTATTTGTTATGCATATGTGTGTATATATATATAGAGTGTCCCGCCACTACCGCAATATCTTTTAAAGGCGGATTCTTGAGGTAATTTGAATAAAAAAATCCTAATGCAAAAATGGCGAGACTATAATACTTTTCAAATTATAAACGATTAAAATTGACCAATTATACTAGTGAAAATACCCGCGCTCAGATACGGTATGACACACAATGGTACCGGTGCATGCACATGTCGTCCCTTTTACAAATATTGATACGGAAGTTCCATACATACAACAACGTATGTAGTAATAATCTGACTTTTCTATCATTTAAATAAAGATATCGGAAATAATAACAGTTTCATCAAAATGTTATGAATAAAATATCACACAGTACATTTATGAGAATCAATGAGCTGTTACACATTTGACGTTTCTTTCAGAGATTTACAACTAATTTCATATCTTATGCAAATTTTCACTTATGTGCATGTATCTGCACCATTTTGTGTTGTACCATACCTGAGCACGCGTACTTTAGCCAATATAACTGGTCAGCTTTAATTGTTTATAATTTCAAAAGTATTATATATCAAAAGTATTATATATCAAAAAGTTTATATATCAAAAGCCTCGACATTTTTGCATTAAGATTTTTTTCTTCAAATTACCTCAGGACTCAGTCCTTAAGAGATAATGCGGTAGTAGCGGGACACCTTGTATATATATACTAGTAATACAATATATCTCCGTAATTGATATAATCTGTAACTTAATTGTAAGATATAATAATCTTCTTAATTTCAGATACTCATATGTAAGCTGCCCAGATATCTCGTTTTTCCCGAATCAGTTTCGATTTTTCACCTTATATCTCGGATTTCTTTGAATGCTGAACAAATGTTCAAATAAGAAATAAAAAATGATCTCAGGATATTACGGTAGATGCAGTAGTTTTCAGTTCGTCTTGCACGAGAATATATCAGAATAGAAAGGTCATATTTAACATTTCTCATGATTTTGTGGACAAATTTTTTTTACACGTTTCTTTTCAATTAAATTAAATTTAATTGGTTCAATTTTGTTTCACACGCGGAATTATTATCTTATTATTTGAATAAAATGTTATCTCTTTCACTATTAAAATGCATTTTTCTCTAAAACCATTTGCTTTCGAAGTTGAGCAAGAATATCTTTTTCAGAAAACATCTGAGAAATAAAAGAAAGTGTCTAACAGTAAAAAAAAATTCTACTCAGCTCATAGTTTAGAAATCTAGGGAAGGTTTGCCTCTTGACTTCCTGAGGTAATATCAAAAATGTATTAAACCAATTAGTGAATTTCTAATTTATAAACACACAATAATTTATAATTATTAAACACACAAAGTGTCCCAGACTCTCCTCCGCAACTTTTGTGGGTTATTATTAAAATAATATCCACAAAAGTTGCAGAGGAGAGCCTAAGACACCTTGTGTATATATATAATTTCCAGTAATTTCCCCCCTCCCTTGAACTACATGTTTAGTATGTCCCGGACTTGGGAGAATAAGAAATCTGAACATTTTATCATATGCAAAAGAAGCCGAGATGCAGTCGAAGCAGTTTAGAAAGTTGTCGCGCTAAACGTGAAGCGATCTCCGCGAGGTTTCTAATCACATTCCATCCGGTGACGCGGTCGGTGTATAATACGCTGTTCGTAATACACAATACGATCATGAATACACTTATATAACAAACTCTGCAACAATACAATTCAAAGAAATGGCAAGAAAAACCACGATTCAGATAATTGAATAGCTCGACGCATTGGGTGATAATTACGCTTAAGCGACGGCCTCTCGTCGCGTTCTCAGCAATCCTCACGATCCTTTTCGCGTTAACGGCACAGTAAACAATTAGAAGAAAAAGTCGCACACTATAGATATATCGATTGCGATGCAGCCATCGTATGAGAGCCAATCCTGCGGCATCAGTTGCACCATCGTCAGCATGACGTACGCCACCGACAGGCAGCCGACGTAACCGCGCAGCGTCAGACCGTGTATGTTCCTCATCTTAGCCAATAGACGACGAACGTAGACGAACGGTACCGAGATGATCATTCCACACATACGAGTAGACGATCTCGTTATCCTCATCGGATACGCCTCTTCGTAGAAGAACGCTAAATACTCCGGGTAATCGTAGTTCCGTACTCTCGCCAGGCAGTACTCATCGTAGTTCATGAGACGATCCTCGTCTATCGCCTCGGGGCGGTACACGGAGTCGTTCGACAGGAAATGCCATTGCTCGTCCTCGTACAGATGCGGATTCAGACTGTACCGGTTGTCTCCGGCACACAGGTTCCACACCAGGATGGAGAAGTGCTCGTCGCTCGCGGTGCTGTTTGTCGGCGCAAGGTCGACCAGCGGCAGCGTCGTTTCCGTGTCGTTCGCGCTTTGCACGCAGTCGTTCCTGGTGAGGAAGGTGCGGACGCGACAGCATAGTGTAAGATCTTTGTTACTAAATCCTGCAGTTCTTATCAGGAAAACCGATATTGTTTATGTTCTTGATATTCACAGGTTGATTAATAAAGTAACCTTTATTACGTATCAAACAAACTTTATTACGCTTACTTGAACACTTATTTTCCCGACGATTACACACAAAGTACTTTAAGTTACAGTTACGTAGAGTTCAGTCACTGGTTAACACTGTCTGCATTCCCTCGAATTCCATGACTAGACCAACTCGTTAGTCGATGACTCCAACGGCATCGGGAAGACCCGGCTCTCGCTTACAGTTACGAGGAGTTCATCTCAATCACCGGTTAACACTGTCTGCCTGCATTCCCTCGAATTCCATGACTAGACCAACTTGTTAATTGATGACGCCAACGTCATCGGGAAGGCCCGGCTGTTCGCTTTATTTAATTTACTCGAAAATCTGAAGGTTATTTATCATAACATATTTACTTCTATTTAATCAATTTACCCAATTCAAAGTTAAAAGTAACTTATCCAAGCTGAATCCAATGGTTCAAATCGAACTTCTATATCGTTAGCTATATATTAGCTTTTCTCCCATACAACTAGATAGCGAAAACATGTCAATGATAATCGATTTCTTACAATAGCGACAGCCGGGCTTTCCCGGTGTCCTTGACTCGTTCGCGCTTTGCACGCAGTCGTTTTCGATAAGGAAGATGCCGACGCGACAGCATAGCGACAGTCGGGCCTTTCCGATGCCGTTGGCGATATCGACTAACGAGTTGGTCTAGTCATGGAATTCGAGGGAATGCAGACAGACAGTGTTAACCAGTAATTGAGTTGAATTTGGTAGAGGAAGCCGACTCGAAGTCGTTACGGAGTCGATTGAACGGATGAGTGATAATAAGTAACGTGTCGTCTTATGGATGTTGTGATACTACTGATATAATACATCGATATCTTTCTTTCAACATCAGGCATTTTTGCTTCGTATTTTCTCTCGATATTCGTATCTATATCTACTAAGTACTACTTCGTTTCAATATCTTTCTAGTATATTTTTTTTTCCAGCAAATGTATGCCAAAAATTATTTCAGTAAAGAAAACCGAAGTTGGATGTCCTATATTTAAAAATTTCAATGTTATACTCTTTCCATTGCATCCATATAGCACAGAACTTTCCGGTTATGTTGCTGCAATGTTACATCATTGCAAATTGCAATGTAATGTAACAGAGATATTACAGGAAAATTAAAACGGACACAAAACATTAATAATATTGCAGCAACGTTTCAACTGCGCCGGTTACTTAGCCCATTTCCTAATCTTTGTCTTAGTCTTCATTGCTATTGCTCAATCTTAGTGATCAGACAACTAGTAATGATTCAAATGGCTTTGACGAAATCTTCATAACTTGTGCTTATATAATGTATTTTCATGTGCTTACAAAACATTGTAATGATATATTTACTAACAGATATTGAAAACAGTTAATATGCGACGGATATTAATAATTATATATTGGCGAAATAGTGATGCGATTATTGCTTTTATTTTTAACTTAACATTATTGTGCATTTGAGAGTAAACGATAAATTAGTTAGAAAAATACATGCAATAATTTATGTATATATACAGGGTATATATCCCAGACCACCCTTATTACACTTTGTGAGAACGTAGAACGGATTGAGTCAATTTGGCGCCAAATTGTGTACATTATGACCGTATTTATCGCGAGATTATGCGAGGAGGACGCACAAAATTTCGTCCCCGCGACGCGGCGACGGCCGACCTTACCGGCTGTTTACTCGATCGCTGTGGTAGAGTGACCTGGTTCTTTACTAGCGAATCTTTGTCTGTTGAGAGGAAGGCAGTAGAGGTCGTTGAATAACGACTCTTATTCAAAATTCTCATTCAAATTCAAACAGTTAACAATAACATTTATTACGGTCGACGTAGCAACGGCAAAATATTATACTACTGATCGAATGATATTCTTATTGATAAGTATCCAATGGTAACTAATATACCATTGATCGAATGATATTCCTACTGGAGTATAATATTTTACCACAAACCGAAGGATTTTCTTTCAAGTAGTAAAATTATTCGTTAATGACAACGTCGTTGGGTCCATATAATTTTATCATAAATCCAAATGATTTTACCACTGATCTCAATGGTAATACTATTACAGTGATAACACTTTTCGCGACGGGATCGCGGAAAGCTTACTCCCGAAAATACCACAAAGAACGTGAGACGAAGAAGAAAGAGAAAAAAATAGGTCACGATGAATCCCCCGAGAATGCCAAGCCTCTCTGGAGAGACGCCTCGTAATATATTATAATAATATAATATACACAATGGATCTAATTACTTTGTTAATCTAAACCGTTAATCTCACCACCGTTAGTGGTGCGTGAAACGACAAACAAAACCTCGAGGGAGCCGGAGGGAGGTGTGATGGCGGATGGTGGAAACTAATCCGTGTTGTGAAAAGAGAAATGCACGCGTACGCGTTACGGCATCTTTGCGAATGAAAAATATAGTTAGTTACAAAGGAAAGCATAAAGTCTAATTACGAATAAAAAATTTGAGACTGAATTAAACTTGAACGGGAAGTGACTTTCTCCCTTCCCCATCCTCTTCCCTGAAAGGTATTGGCCCGCACACAGGAAAATATCATTCTGCTGTTAAAGAAAGTGATTATATAGTTTACTTTCCTTCTTTTGAGTTACGATAATTTTCAGCAAAAAATATTTTCATGATAAAAAAATAATCCTAATTAAAATATACTTGAAGGCTTTTACGAGACTATGACATTATTCTAGAAGTGTCAAAATAATAAATAAAATTTCGATCTGAGCCATTTATCACATCAGTAGAGTGCTGTTTTGCTTTTGAATACTTCTCTACTCATTACTTCGCAGGTTGTATTCGGATTTCTGAATTCCGATACGCATACTGCGATTAATGGCTGCGCTTTAATCAATGTTTTCTAGACGAATTGCACATAAACTGCCATAATTTTGCAATAAATTGCAATAAATTTTAATTATCATTTTGGTACTTCTGGAATACTTCTGGAATGAAAGTAACTAAATCTTTAAAATAACTAAGACATAATATAGAGTAATAGACAAAATACCAAATTTTGGGTCATAAGACGTCTTTAAGACATGTTCAAGGCATCATTAAGACAAGTTTATAAGGTATTGTCTTAAAGATGTCTTAAAGACGTCCTAAAGATGTCTTTTGATTCGATTTTAAACATTTGATAGTCCGGGACTCATTACTCTTAAAATATATTTATCACAAATTTAATAAAAGCTTATTTTCATGCACTCAAAAGAAAAATTCGTTCTTTTGATAAGAATATTATAAAACTTTATTGAAGAAACAGTTGGTTCGACTATTAGAACTAAGAATGTGTTTTGAGTGAATTTGATGCTTATGAAATGAACGTATGATAGATTTGCGGATATACAAACTTTGGAAATACTTGAAACAAGTCACCTTTGAATGCAGTATGTATTTTTCTGTGTGTATGTAGATATTTTGCGAATACATCAAATCTTTGTCAAAGTGTTCGGTATCGCTAGTGATTTATACATAACAAGAATTCGAATCACTACTTTGTGATTTTGAACAAGAAACGTCTCATCAGTAACATCTCTTTCTGCTGATAATTAAAATACACGAGTAAAGGCAAATTTGTCTTACTTATTTTCGAAAGTGATTGTTGTTTGCACGAAATATCATCATGTGTGAATAAGTGATCAGCAAGTATCGACATACAGTATACACTCGTAGTTTGTGGTTTTGCTGTATTATGATAATACTTACCCAGCAAGTAAAATATCATTACTACAATGTTATTATAATGATATTTAGTAACATGTAACATTTGCAAGTATGTCGTATTTAACGTTGTCAGCATCATAATGAACAAACTTTGACACCGATTTTAATTTTCGACAATGTTGAATTCATATATGTCATATCATTGTAATTCATGTTATGCTAATGTTTTTAGAACATTCTGTGATAACGTTCCTCGAATAATGTTAAATAAATATTTCCGTAAAGTCAATTCACATCCTAGGTAGCACAAACACGTTTCAGAAACGTTTTTTTACGGCTCAGGCAGCCGTGATAAGGACGTGAATTGTAAAGTAAAAAAGAACATATCTTGCGGAAACGATTGTAACTAATGAACTTATATTGATTTTAAATGAAATTTAGCTTTTTTATTTGATTTCTTACTATTTTCGCTTCTGAAAATTTACTCAGTACTGGTCGGACGCGAACTCGAGAGACTTTAGACATCTTCAAGTTTTTAGTCTACTACCTTGGTCGCTCCGCTATTTCCTCAATTGATATTGCTCTTTATTATCCTTATATGCAACCAAAGCACAAAATATAATTTTCTTATAATATTATTTAGGACAACCACAAAAATAAATTATTAATAGTTATTAATTATTTATAGTTATAAAAATTTATATAATAAAAGAGAATTAGAGATACATGCATAACATATTTATGCAAAATATGTTTACCTTGGTTACAAATATTTCGATACAGTTTATCGAAAAAATAAAGCTCTTTTGACTGTAGAAACGTTAAACACACTTCTTAAATTATGATTTCATAAACGTTTCTGTCTAAACGTTTCTTATTAGTGCTTTCCCATTATCAAACATTACATACGTATAAAATATGTATATGCACATATGCTACCTGGGATCAACGTTTTAAACATTAATTTAATGTTTCTTACTTATTTATCAACAACATTCAAAAAATATGTTTTGAAATGTTTGTACAACATTTCTTTAATATTTGAAATGTAATATTATTAAGCAACGTTTTAAAAACGTTTATAGAATATTATAGACGTTTTAAAAACGTTTATAGAATATTATAAGGCGTCTTCTGAGGTCACTCTGCTACCTGGGGTAAGGACATCTAATAATAGCTAGTATGTCGGCTGGCATTGCAGACACTTGACTAACCGGTGTTATTTTAACCGGTTTATTAAATAATCAAATGAATAATTT